ACAATTTGAACCCAGTTTCTACAAAACCCATGCTTTTGATGCTACACAAAGTTTTTGGTTATTGAGCAGTTGTATATGACAGACCCTTTGCAAATGATACTCCACAAATCCTCCCCACTCCACGATGGGAAGTGGTTTCATACAACCATCTTATAGGTGAAGAAGCCAGGCTGAGAAAGGTTAGGTGCTTGGTCCAAGTCCATATTTACATTGATGTGTGAGGGATTTCACGTTGAAATCTCGAAAAAAAAACAACACACACACACACAAGATAAGAAAAACAGTTCTGGCTACGTTAAGCAGGAAAGATTACAAGGAATTGGGTGCTTACAAAATTGATAGAGGAGCGGGCTGTCGTCTGAGCCCGCAGGAGCGGCACTCAGAACACCCAGGTGGTATCTCAGCTGCCAACTCCAGGCTCTGACCGCCTCCACCACAGCTCAGGATCCGCGAGCTGCCACCATCAGTGTTGGCTCTGTGTCAGCCGGACCTACATCAGCCACATGGTATAGCAACAAGGTAACCCCACCTTCATCCCCACTTAACACAATTCTAATTTGAGCCTCCTGCAAGCATATCTGAATGGCAGGTTCTAATCATCACCAGACCCTTCTTTTGTAAAGGAGGCAGAGAAAGGTGGATTTGCCCTTTCCAGCCTCTGCAGTTCCGGAATGCACAAGGAGGAAGGGGGGCAGATGCTGAGCGAGTCATCCTCCTGTAACTGTCGTGGTCTGCATTCCCACGGGGCAGCCCTCTGCTGGAGCTGAGAAGCCCCTCTCCAAGGAAACAGAAATCCAGTCCTCCTACTCAGATTAGCACTGTCTATATAGCTAATCTGTTGCTTCTGTCTGCTACATAGTATCCCATTGTGTGAACCCACCACTTTCTACCTGTCCCCTCTGCCGGGGAATGGAAACCCAAGCTGCCCTTTGGGCCTCCTTAGGAAATTGCCCAAGACATGGGCTTGTACCCTATGGACTTTTGAGCTGATCTCACTTTTATCCACTGTAGAACCATACGATATATAATAAGAAGAAGTTGTTACATAATATAGAATAACAATAGGTAACTTTTACGGAGCATTTACCATGAGTCAGACACTCTTCTAAATGCCATAATGTACTAATTCATTAATATAGTTCTCATAGGATTTCATGAGGATTAAACTAAGTAACACTTTATACCAGGGACATAGACGTGCTCAGTAAATGACAGTTATCATCACGAGGCAGGAGGTCAAGGGCTGACACCAAGGCCCAGCCTTTGTCTGACAGTCTAAATGCACTCCCAGGCAAGGTGCCTCAGTTTACCTCTGTGCGCACACCCGATGGCCCGTGCTCCTTAAACACAGCTGGCACTGATCCGTTCATCTCTGTGGCTCTCCATGGGACCAGGACGCCTTAGGGCGGGGATGGGGCTTCTCCCAGCACCCAGCACAGTGACTGGCCATGTCGGCATCCAGTCCACGACTAATGGGTGAAGACATTGATGTGTGAGGGAGCTTGACTAGGCCTGACCCTTGTGAGAGAAAGACCCTGGAGGGTACTGATTGCATTGGAGTCACAAGGAATATGGGCACACTGGCCTCTGAACGTCAAAAAAGGATATTTTGTAGTATGCCAGGGGATGTCTTTCCCTTGGGAGATGAACTACAGGGAGATACCAAAACCCAGGGCTGTTTCCTACACGCCTGGAGGAAGCCTGGCTGGGAGAGGGTCACGGGGAGAGCTGTTCCTCCCACAGGCTGAGGCAGGCCTGCTGTTCTCAAAAGTGAGCCTCCTCTGAAGGCCTTCTTCACAGGTCGACAGGTCACTCTCCATGCAGCAAATCAGTATCCCCCCATGTCTTCCTTCGTGTTTCCTGGGACCGATGGGTTCAAAGTCAATAACACAATTCTGCCCAACTCCGATTTATTGTGCCCACCATGTGGAAGAGTCAACTGGCCTTCTGAGCGTCTGCTACCCGCCAGCACTGGTAGGCACCTCCATCTCCAGCATTAACTCTAATCCTCCGTGACCATCCTATGAGTGCGTGCTGCTGCTATCCACGTGTTTAGATGAAGCAACCGAGGCCTGAAGAGGCTGAGAAGCTTGCTTAGGGCCTCTCACCCGAGAGGGGGAGGAACCAGCCTTCGAACCTGGGTCTGTCTGGCCACAGGCCAATGTGCTGGTCGTGGCAGGAGCTAGCCCCTGTCCTTGTCCTTTTAGAACTTCTCACTATTGTATTTCATAAATCGTGTCATCATTCATTTATTGTTTGCTTCCCTGGCCAGACCGTATGTTCCAGGAGGGCCAGGCCCTGCCTGCGTTGTCCACTGCTGTGTCCGCAGCACCAGCACGTTATGATGGGCCGGGCCATAATGGAAATCCACTCAGAGTCATTGAAGGAATATTGCGACCAATGAATGAAATTCACAAACACAGATGGCAGAGATCCTGCTCCCCAGCATGTGGTGATGGTCACACACTCAGCTGCTTGTTGGCTCTTGCCTGGACTGCCACAATAATTTCCTTGTCGTCTCCACATTTCTGCACATTTCCCCATCCTCCACATGAGGACGGACTTGATCTTTCTCGAAATGCACGCCCAGCACATCATGGTCCTGCAGAAGATCATGGCCGATGCCCCATTCCCTGAGGACAGAGTCCGGGCTCGTGGGAATGGCCCAGAGGTCGTTATGCTGCCCTATCTGCCTTGGGAGCCTTAGCCCCCCATACCTTAGCCCCAAGAACCCTGTAACCCAGCCTCTCTGTGTTAGCTCCCTGGTTCCCAAACTTGCTTTCTTTAACTGCAATCTCCACCTCCAGTCAAACCCCACCCCATGCCCTGTTCTGTGTGCCTGACAGATGTCAACTCACCTTTTTTTCCAATTGAGGCAAAAGTCACATAACATCAATTTCATCTTTTTAACCATTTTAAAGTGTAAAAATTCAATCACTTCCATTATATTCACACTCTTCTGCAAGCATCACCACTAATTCCACAACGTTTTCCTCACCCCAAAAAAGACATCCCACCCCAATAAGCACTCACCCCCAAGTCCCCGCTGCCCCCAGCCCCCGGCAACCCACTTTTTGTCTCTATGGATTGGCCTATTCTAGATATTTCCTATAAATGGAATCCTACAATGTGTGGCTTTTTGTGTAACTCATCTTTTAAAACTGAACTCATAGCTCGCTTCCTCTAACAAAGTCTTCCCTGACCTTTCAGCTGCCGTGCCGCACTTCATACACCATTTCCCGATTCTAGTGGGCAGCTCAGTGCTGCCTCCGCAGCCCTCCTGGACTTCATTCGTGGCACCTGGAATACCTGTTCCTCCTATTCGTACCATGCGTCTCCTGCCATTAGCTGGGAGTTCCTTCGGGACGAGAGCTTGCTGCTATTCACCTTTACATTCGCAACATGTCCTAGAGTGCCTGGCACACAGCAGCTTCTCACGAATGTGTGCTGAATACAGATCTAAGGTAGTGGTTATGTACCCGGGCTCTGGAGCCTAACTGCCTGGATTCCCGACGCTATTGCTTCACGGCTGTGTGAACATGGGCAAATGACTTAAGCTCTCTGTGTCTCAGATTCCTCATGTACGATGGTAATGATAGTAGAATCTACATTGAAAAGCTGTTGTGAGGGTGAGATACTCAGAGAAGTGCCTGGCACATAGTAGTGTTCCATAAATATTAACCCGATTGATTGATTATAAAAAAACATTTATTATTATGATAAGTGTCATGCACAATAGAGGCTCAAAGAAGGTGCGCAGGTGGTGTGTGGAGGAGGCACACTTACCATCGACGGAGGGGATCTAACGAGGCTTCTGGGAAGAGGCAGGAATTGACCTGGTCATTGAAAGTCGTGTGGGCACTCAAGAGTAGATGTCAGGAGGCCCTGGGAGGGCCAAGGAAGGGCATGTGGGGCCAAGAGAATAAGGCTTGAGCAAACACAGGTGGGAGAGGGAGTGTGGGGCGTGTTCCAGAAGGGTGTGGCTGAAGTCTGGTGCGTGGAGGCAGTTCAGCAGGACACAGGCCTGAACAGGTAGCTTGGGACCACGCTCGTAGAGGGTCTCGGTGGTGTGGATCTGTTAAATGCTTTTGAACGTGAAAGTGGGACAATCGGATCACCGTTTAGGAAGACAGCCCGAGTGGTCACAGGAGGATGGGGTGAAACGGGGAGAGACTGGGTGCGAGGCTTGCAGACTCAGACACCTACAGAGGGCAGGAGAGGAGCACAAATGAGGGAGGGAGAAGGACACCTGGCCGGCTGAACCACGGACGTCTGTCTTCTCATCCACGCACAGCTGCTGCTCCATTTCAGCCACTGCTGCCATGCAGGCTGTGGTGCATTGTTACCAGGTTTTTCTGTTTTTCAAAGAATGCCAGATGATATAGGTTTTTATGTGATCCTAACTTTTAACATAAATTTGTAGGTTAAAATGGCCCTCAGGTCTCACATGCGTGTTCGCTGAGGAAAGTATAAGTTATTCATATTATCTAGGAAGAAGTGATCAAGTCCTGACCTGGGGCAGTGGCAGTGCAAACAGATGGCTCAGACGTGGTGGAGTTAGCATCAATGAGATTCGATGCAGACGATGAATAGGAGATGTACAGAAAGACTCTGATGTTTCCAGCCTAAATGACTTAGAGGAAGTTGATGCCACGGGCAGCTTCATGAAACAGAACAAGAACGGCTCTTGAACCAGACAGAACCGGTTCAAACCCAGCCCCATCACTCACTAGCTTTGTGACTTTGAACATGTCACTTAACCTCTCTGAGCCTCAGTTTCTTCATCTATTGTATGGGGATAATATTAATACATATTTCATAGAGTCACTTGTAAAGACTAAATGAGGTCGTGCATGTAGAGTGCTTAGCACAGAGCCTGGTAGTTAGCAAGAGCTCAAATGTTTGTTAAATTTATTGGCAACATCCCTTCATTCTACTTCCAGTGAGAGCCTCCAGTTTTTTATTTGGTGCTCTTTACTCTCCCCGATCCCCACATCCAGGATGGCCAATGAGAACCAGCATTCCTCTGGTGATAGTGATGGGTGCAGGGACCGGCTCAGACGGTCTGAGAACGGAGTCAACGCAGAGTGAGCAGCGTTGAGAGGGGAGAGAGAAACCGCGTCCTTCTGGAGCACTTGACGCTCCGCATCCTGCTCCACCGGAAATCAAGCCCACATCGGACTCTTCACTTAATTCCCCTTGAGGCTGTGTCATCTTTGGATTGGATTTTCTGCTGTGTGTCATCAAAAGAGTCCTAACTGATTGTATTACTACGACCACTGCTGTTATGACTTTTTAATTTCGATTCCTCACGATGGTGCATCCTCTGTAGAGTGGAAAGCGGGCAGCCCTTGGGAAGTCTGTCTGCAGCCTGGGAATGAGGTCCTGTTCCTGAACATCCTGAGTGTGAGTGTGAACAGGACACGTATCCACCAACGGCCCCAGGTACCCTGAGAGGCATCCCCAGGCGGGAACTTAGGCTGCCACAGCTCAGCAGTGCCCGGCCAGCCCCAAGGTCAGAAGCCCAGTGTGAGGGGGGAGGCGACAGGCCGTGGGGGCACTGCTTCTGCCCCTTCTTGGGTTCTTGCCTGGGCCCCAGGTGGGACACTAGCTGGGGAAGCAGAAGGCAGGTGAGATCTACAGACCAGAGAGAACCCGGAACGTGTGGACTGAAGACCCTTCACCTTGCTGCTGTGGTGCCTAGGCCTGCCAGCCCTGCTGTCGCATCCCAGGGGGTCGTGAAGGGGTCACATGTGCGGGGCTCTGGCTGGCAGCTGGGCAGTGTGGGCTTTGGCCCCATCTCCAACACACACCAGCTGTCTAATCTAGGACATGCTCTTTGCCTCTCTGATCCTTATTGTCCTTATCTGCGACGTTGGGATTAATAAAATAATATATCTAAATCACTTAGCAGTATCTGTCTGAAACATAGTACACATGTTCTCAGCAAATATTTTCCTTCTCTGCATCTCAAGTTACTCATCCGTAGAGTGAAAATGAGGCTAAGCTCTAGTTACTGGATAATCCATGCAGTTCCTTCCAGCTTGAAAATGTTCTAAAACATTCTGTTTCTTTAGCTTATTTAAAATGGCAAAAGTCACACTGCAAGCTTATCGTGACACTACAGAAACATAACCATTTACCCAAAACTCTAGGTGCCAAATGCAATTCGTAATTATTTAGTAATCTTTATTGATTACTGCTCCGCATCCGGTATATAGGGGAACACCCCCAGGGAGGTACAGGCGCACTCCTGCGCTGCTTTTAAAATATGCCCACAAACTGTCTGATACTCCTTTCTTCAAGAGGGAGAACGACATCTCCTCTTCTTGTGTGTAGGCTGGACTTAGCGACCCTCTTCTAAGAAACAGGACAAAGGAGAAGTGACAATGTGACACTTCCAAGACTAGGTCATAAAAGGCATTGAGTTTCTCCTGGCAACAGCCGTGAGGGCCATCTTGCAGGGGAACCCTGGATCCCGGTCAGGCCTGCAGGTGACTGCAGCCCAGCACATCTCTACTGCAACCACGAGAAACCCCGAGTCCAAACCACCCAGTTAAGCCGCTTCTGACTTCCTGGCCCACAGAAACTATGAGATAATAAATGTTTACTGTTTTAAGCTGGTAAGTTTTGGGGTAATTTGTTATGTAACCATAGATAGTTAACACAACCCCATAACGAAGCGTATTGATATTTCTTGACATCAGAAGCGTATGATGTATGACTATCCACAGCAAATGGTTTGGATAAAATCTGCAAATAACCTTCACCCAGCTCAGTCAGGTTTCACTGTGAAATGAGCTGCCCCAAACAGAGCATTTTTAATTTTATCTTGGAAGTGTCGAGGAGAGCTTCTGAAAGGGGATTACACAATGCAAAACATTCTGGGGACAGTTTCCAGCCCCAGTGTGCCCGTCAGATGGTGACTGGATCAGGAAACCAATGCCACAACTGAATTACTTGTCTTATAAGAATCATTAAGAGCAGCACACTGCCTTCCTCACTAAGCTCTAGGCTCGGAACGTGTGGACTGTCTCGTCTTCACAGACTTTGCAGCCAGAAGGAGCCTTAGAGGTGCTCCAGGCCATGGTTTTCCAAAGCACAGTAAAGGGGTCACGGTCATCAGGAGTGGGACAGTTGAGGAAGGGGTCATGCAGGTTCCTGGGCCTTACCCGGGCCTACTGAGTCAGAAGCTCAGCGGCGGACCTAGGAATCCTATGGGCTCCATGGAATTGGGTAAGTCAGTTAACCTCTTGAAACCTGAATTTCTGCATTCCTAAAACGGGGTTAGTAACGTGTGCTCCCGAAGATTGTTAGCCGGATCAAAGGAAATGAGGTAGTGAAGTGTCTGACAGCCCCTGGTATAAAAATGACGTCTGACTGGAGCTGTGTGAGCAAGCGTACATCTTGATTCCAGGGAGACCAGCACCGCTGTCACCGCCATCCGAGGGGTCAGTGGGGTACAATGGCTTACGTGCAATGATAACAATAGCAGTGACACAATTGTTGAATGCTCACGCACCAGGGACTGCTCAGGGCACTCAGCCAACATTAACTAATTAAATTCTCGTGACAATCCCATGAGACAGATGCTTTTTTTTAGACCTATTTCACAGATGAGGAAACTGAGGCACAGAACAGTTAAGTGACAAGCCCAGGGTTATAGCTTCCAAGTGGCAGAGCCAGGATTTCAACCCAGGGAACCTAAGTAATTTGTGACGGTAAGCTTTGCGCAGGCCTGCTTGACCTAAAACAAAAGAGAAGGGACCCCAAGTGCCAAAATGTCCTCCTTTCTCAATGAATGCCTGTTACTCAGCCTCAGAGCTAGGCGGAAGGCTGCGGCCCCCGGTGAACTGTACTCCCCGCAAAGCTGCCTCTCAAACTCTCACCGGGAGCGTGTTTGCATGAAACAAAGGGAAGCACCGGGAAGCCCTGGGCCTGGAGAACCCCCCGAGAGCTGCTCAGCTTCGTTCAGTTCTCCTGAGCTGACCTCCCACAATCCATCCCCTCTGCCTGGAATTCTCCCTCACCTTCCCTATCCTTCACGCCCCGTTGTCCTTCCAGTTGGATTCTTGACATCCTCGGAGAGACCTTCTCTGATCATCCCATTCAAAACAAATGTCCCGCCCCAGCCCCCACTCTCGATTACTCTCTGTAATAGCCCTCTCTTCATTTCCTACCAGCACTTCCCATAATTTGTAATCATTTTATTTATTTGATATCTGTTCCTGATGGTTCCTCTTGCTCCAGGAAGGCAGGAACCATGTCTGTCTGATTCGCCACTGTGAACTCCAGGACCTGATTGTAAGCCGGGTCCGGCACATTGCCGACTCATCAGGACTTGTCGAATGCGGTGAATATGCTGAAAACCCTGCATGGATGGGCTGGCCTCCCCACCCACCCCGCTCCTCATGGTGCCACCTGCACCTTTCCCTTGGGGGGACCTGCTGAGCTACAGCCCTGGGACAAGGGACGTACTGCCTTCAGCATTGTCACCACCCTCAGCAGGGACTTCTCACCCCCCTCCTTTACCACACAGCACCTACGTGTTCTGGAAGCAAGACTGAACCAAGCCCAGAGGAGCAGCCTGGACAGAGTGGAGGAGTGGCTCGGAGCACCTCCTTATGTGTTTGTACAAGGGACCAGTGCTGGAGCTCCAAGTCTTCATTCCTAGAGGAGGAAATAGAATTGAGTGACGTAATTCATACCACAAGGCGATGGTTTTCTTTAAGCCAAAACCAGCATCATTAGCTACTGTGCACAAGGTCTCTTTAGACCAATGCATCAAATGGCACCCACGGTTTGACCAGTTAATCCACAGCTGAGACCACAGCTGGAGGCGGCGACGGCAGAGAGAAGGCACCAGCGCCCCAGCTCGGCTCAGCCGTGGACAATCCATGGTCCTTCTGACTGTGGAAGAAAAAAATCACAGTTTGCTGTTGAATTGTTCTTCCCTCTGCAGGGCCTTAGGAAAGCAAAACTGGTAACTGGGGATGACTTCAACATGGCAATTCAGTGAGGAAAGCAGGCTTGTGTGGTCATTTAAACAGCAGAACCTCCCAGAAGGCAATTCCTAGAAATAAAATGCCAAGCATAGCGCAAGTCATCCAACAGCCTCTGGAGCGGGAATTTTCAGCTCGGCGGAAACCACTCACCTAGCGTTCAAAGAGAGAAGAACAGCACTATGCCAGCTCCTTACGCGTGCCGTGTTTCTGAGATGCAGAACTAATTAGCCAACTAAATAATTGCTCTGAAATTCATTTGACGTTTTTTAGCTCCGTGACCCTGAGTAAGCTACTTGACCTCTCTGGGCCTCTATATCCTGCAGAATAGAGATAATTGCAGTTCTTGCCTCATGCGGTGTAAAGAGTAAATAAATTATAATATAGGTAAATGCTATGTTCAGTGTCTGATACATAACAAATGCTATGAAAGTGCTGAAAATTATTTTGTTTTGGCAGATGGCAACAGCAAATATGCTCACGAGGAAGCCTGCATGCACCTGCATCAATCATATCCTTATCCCAGCCTGCTTTTCCACCTCCATCCTAGGGCAACCTGAGGACGAGGATGCTGTCTTTTTCTCTGGGTACCCCAGGGCCACCAAATTATCTGGCGAATAAGAAGCATTCAATACGTATTTGTGATGAATAGATAAAGCTATATTGCTCTGAGGTTATAAAATGGATAACACACAGTCCTTGCCCTTGAAGAGCTCCTAGCCAGGCAGGGGGAAAGACACTCAACAAAACCCCCGTTGTGTGACGGATTAGAGTTCCTAAAGAGGCAGGAAAACAAGCTGTTAGAACTCGCTTTGCCTGGGGGAGTAGCCAGGGAAGGAGGTGATGGGAAAGCCAGCCTCGCGGGAAGAGAGGGACTTGCCAGGTAAAGGCTGGGCTGCAGAAGGGGGCGTCTGACCTGGGGTTGGAAGGAGCAGCCTTCCTGGGGTTGGGAGTCAACCCATGAAGAAAGTAGAGAGGGCTCTCAGGGCAGGTGATGGAGCCTGCGTGCACCTCCGGCTCGGGGTGCGGGGGGTGTGCATGTGTGTGTGCGAGTGAGATGATTCACCGTCAGACCGTAAATTCCTATGGCACAGGAGTCAGCGTGCTCTTTCTACACAGGGCTAAAGAGTAAATATTTTCAGCTTTGTGAGCCATCCAGAGTGTCACAACTACTCAACTCTGTCACTGTAGCAAGAAATCAGCTGTAGACAATATGTAAACAAGTGGCTGGGCAGATTTGGCCCGGGGAGGGCTGGATTTGGTTCATGGGCCCTCCAATGGGACGAGGAAACCGCCCTTCTGGCTTCCCAAGGAGACAGCAGAAGAGGTGGCCAACCCACAGGGTGTGGGCTGGGGAGCCCATGCCATGATCAGACCTGCTCTTTGCATGGGTCATCAAGTGCTATGTTACAAATTATCTCAAAACTCAGCAGCTGAAACTGCCAACACCTATCCTAGTTTCCCGTAAGGGGGAGTGTGGGCAGTTCTGGCTTGGGGTCTCCTATGAGGCTGTGGTCAAGATACTAACCGGGCCGCAGCTATCCGACGGCCTACGGGGGCTGGCGCGTCTTCCCTCAAGGCGGTTTGCTCACGTGGGCCATGAGGGGGTGCTGGCTTTGGCAGGAGCTCCAAGTCCCTCCCCACATGACCCTCTCTACAGGGCTGCCTGAGTCTCTCACAACATGGTGGCCGGCTTCCCCGGAGTAAACAACCCAAGAGACCAAGCTGGAAGCCGGGATTAGCCTGGGAAGTCACACACCGTCACTTTTGCCTTATTTAATTGGTTAAATAGACAGACATGGGTTCAACGTGCAGACAGATACTACGCAAGACATGAAAGCCAGGAGACAAGGACTCCTGGAGGCCATTTTGGGGCTGGCTGCCAAGCCCTGTTCTTCATAAC